TGGAGTTCGAGACACGAGAAGCAATTTCCTTGGAAATTGTGTTATAGACTGGAGGATTCTAATATTAAAACTGGTGTGAAATTTTCTAATTTGAAAGGCAAACTTAAAATGTGTTCGTGCCGTAAGGCAGATGAAATTGAAGTTAAGAGTCCTAGTATATTGATATTGTCAAAGCAGTTTAGCGACAACGTCGTTGATGTTTATCACGTCGGACCTACTAACTTAAACCTTACATTGAATCGATGTTTAAGTTATATGGATCTTCACCGGTTATCTGTCGATGCCGTATCTACCATTCTTGGATTAAGTTATCATGACTCCCGCGATCTATGACTGGAGTTGGCAACACTACAGATATGGCTACTACATTGCCTTGTGACGTTAAGCATGAAGACAATGTTAGTAAGACGAGTTCCCGGAACGACGAGTCGTTACTTGGTTTTTTTTTTTCCCCAATTTTTAGACACATGTCAATGCCCGGCCATATCCCCCATCATCATCACTGACTTATGTAAATCTAGATCGGCTAATTTTTCTCGAATAGCACTTGCACCAGTAGAGATTTCTCGATTGCGAAATGTATTGAAAGAACTTCTAGTAAAATAGAACTTTATCATAATATTAAAACTAACCTAATCTAATTTTAGCACTCATAATTTGAATTAAACTCTCTTAAAATCCAAATTCTATATGTATCTGCATTTCCTTCGGCTGAGAGAATTCGATTCCAACGAGGTAGACTAGAACTTTAAATTTCAAGGAGACATCTTTTGTTTTGACCAAGTGTCGGTATTGAACTTTTGACAATAACATATAGCTGAACTCATACAAAGGGGTACCTATTTCTTATGAACCAAATGCTGATACAAAATTTCAAAAAGCAAAAAACTTATGCAACTCATCCACAAAATCTTCAATTAATTGTGTATAATGAGGAGCACAAGGGACTATTACTGCTGACTGGCCTGTAGAAATGTATGATTGCAACTTCGGAGGCTCAAATGGGCTCCGATAAGGAAACAATTTTACTATAAGAAAATATAACTTTTATTTAAATGTGATGATCAGTCAAATGGATTATCTTTATAGGAATAATCCAAAATCCTTTTCTTCACGTGTTTAGGAAATGAGGTCAGAGACGCGCAATAAATTATAATAATCACCATTAGATTCTCCTAGCCTATATTATACATCAAAAGCAAGTTCAAAAATTTCGTAATTGCAAATAATTTTCCTTTCATATCGACATGAAATTTAAGAACATTGACAACAAAGGGAGGAGCTAAGAAAATGTCGGTAATTAGTAGGCAACGTTCGAATATTGATAAGAAGAGTATGTAAGCGGACAATTACCTTGGAAAAAATCACGAAAACTTGGGGAGTATCAATCAGTTGAGGTAATTCCCAAGTCACCCTAGAAGGTACAGAATGTAGGCAAACCCCTTTGCTCAAGTGAAAATACTGTGTAATTTCTCAACAGTTTCATGGTCAATTATGCTAAAGCCTGGTGTAAGTGGGGATAGAGAGAAGTCTAAAAACTTTCATCCTTGCTATTAGAACATTCAATAGGTTCAACAGTAAAAGCCATATTTTCTTCTTCATGAGTACTAATACAGTCAGACTTAGGAAGTGACCGATGTG